AACTGTAAATTTCGTTACCGTTACCCAAAAAATGTAACTCGTTACCGTTACAGTTACCAAAAAAAGAAAGTAACGCAGTTACCAGTAAAGTTACCAAAAAAGTAACTTGTAACTGTAACTTCGTTACAAGTAACGAGTTACTTCCATTCCCTGATATATATATATATATAACGATGGTTTTTGTTATATTACACACACATATATGTAGTATATATATTACGAATTACAGTTTCTGTTAAGTTGAAATTCTTATTCTCTATTCCTTTGATTGTACATAAATCTAATAAACCAAAATAAAAAAATCAAGCATATACCTCCGTTAACGACCTTTTTACGGCCAGTTCTAGGATGCGGCCACTGCGTGCCTTTTGTGTAGTGACTGCAACACAGTATTTGGTGAAATATACTCGCTTTTCTCAATTAACCTTTTCGTATTATAACATACAAATTTCACATTGATTACTTTACGTAATAAACATTTCCATCTAACGTCGTTCTCTCTTCCCATCCAGGCGGTAACTCATCCTCGCTATCAGTCTCATTCAAAACAGTCATAATTGAGGACCACTTATATCAAAGAGAAGCCTCAGAGCGGCCATGCCCGGTGATGCCCGGGAATTTATCTGTTCCGCTGTTACTTTATTTTGAAGCGCCTCTATGTCCAGAAAACGTGGACATTGAACTATGTAGCTAATGTCCACGATCGTGTCGGTAATGTCCACAATTTTTTGGTTCGATTCTTCCCTATGTCCATGATTTTTTGGTTCGATTCTTCCCTATGTCCATGATTTTTTGGTTTGAATCTTCCCTATGTCCATGATTATCAATCCGTTAGGCAACAAAGCAGACAACTAATCGATGTGTCTGAGACCAAGTCGGAATCAGGTCTTTTTGGCTGAACCTTTGCACCAGTTCATCATTTTACCTTTTCTATTCTTCCAAAGAAAAAAGGAAAAAATATGAACTGGTGCACACAAAACATGAATTTTATAATAATTGCAAAGCGGCATTCTCTGCTGAACACAACCATTAGGCCGATATTTTATCGATCGAAAAGGCTTTTCAATGGCTGCAGAACAGAGTGCAATTCTCAGATCATCTATTCTTGAAAAGAAACGTATATATGTATATAAGAAATCAGAAAAATACTAATACAAAATTTATTAATGAGTTATCAAAAATAAAATTTTGAATTTTGTATATCTTCTAATAGAGAAATGAAAATTGCTGACTTTTAAGAAACTTGAAATCAAATATTCAAACAAATTAATTTCACGAATTTTGTCTTATAGGTAATACGTGTCTGTATAAAAATGGAATTAGGAAATTGTTTTCTTTATGTTAACTTAGCCCGTTCTTACTAAATATATAGTTATTAGTAATTAGTACAAACGAGTTACAGAGGCCCTCCACCACCCCCGCCGATTTTATCGGCGGTCCTCTTTTCTTTATAAACTAGAACAATACAAGCGCGCGCTATCAGCATTTGACATTATTAAAAAAAATATATACATAAGTAGTCAAAATGAGTAATCACTTATATTAAAAATAAATGATCATAGTGAGTAGCGTGTAACGTGTAAAATTATATATTAAAAAATAATTTTCTTTTATCTTCTCTATATCAAGAAAATAACAATTTGAAAATACTATCATTTCCACATCACCTTGCGGTAGATAGTATGATGCGTTTTTTTTATAGTGGTTTCCCCATTAGGCCTAATCCACTTCTCATATATTACCTTTTTATATTATTTTTTTCAGAGGATGTTATTAAAGATTTTAAGATGTTTTTTAATACGTTTTTCAATAAACATAAGATGTGTTAAACATTTTTGAGATATTATACCATTATATCATTTTTTCATTATACCTTTCATAGAGTGAAAATAAGGATAAGGAATAATAAATAATAAACAATATATGCACAAAAATAAAATAATCAAATAAATTAATAAATAATTATTTTTTAAAATAAATAAATATATATTTTTATTAAAAAGTTAAAACATTTAAAATTATTTATTTAATAACAAAGAAATAATAAAAATTAAGAATTTACTTATTCATAAATAAATTATAAATTAAAATTAATACAATGTTGCTTATGTAATATTATTTAAAGTATTTATGTAATACAAGTTTAAAAATACTTTTAACTTATAAGAACATTTTTCTTTAATTATTTTACTAATTTAAAAACTATTATAACCTTGACATTGTAATATTAGGATTTTTTAATATCATAAAAATTTACAATAAAAAAAGGTAAATACTGTACTTTTTAAAAGTAAATACTATAAGTAATATGTAAAGGCTCAAAATGATTTAAAATTAAGTAATAATAAATAATGCCTATATGAATCGACACAGTGTGACACAATTTATTGGAATTGTATAAATCATAATTAAATAATATGTAAAGGCTCAAAACGATATAAAACTTTAATATTATTAAGTACCTTTATGTTATTATTTTTTATTTAAAAAATAAAAGGAATTATTTATATATTTCTTTATATACATAATTTTTAATTTGTTTATTATCACGTTGACTACCTAGATAAACTTTTAATGCTTCCCAAGAATGTACTCTTGAAAAAGCAACATAAATCATTTAGCAAAAACGAGCTAAAGAGGCCCTCCACCACCCCCGCCGATTTTATCGGCGGTCCTCTTTTCTTTATAAATTATACTTATACTCGTAAAAAACGGACCATCGTAACAACAGCCTGTTTTTGCGGATAATTGTTGTTTTATATTTATATTTTTTATTTTCTTTATTTTTCTTTATTTGTTATATACTCGTACATCTTGAATACAATATTTAATGCTATCTTTGGATATAATACTTTATTCAATTTAATACATTAATAATTATAATATTTGTACAATAACTATGTGAATATTACAATGACAGTGACAATATATAAGAATAATAATATTTACAATCATAATATATACAATATAAATGCTGTCAAAATACATGAAAAATTATATTAAGAGAGAACATAATTAAAAAATTACATTATTATATATAATAAAATAGGATTACACGAAAACGTCGAAAATACGTACAAGAACACATAATTTTATCAAATGTATAGTTTCTAGATACATACAAATAAAATTTATTATATATCGTTATATACCCTAACAGTCTAATTAACGTATGATATAATTTATTAGTATATTTGTACAAATTACAAAAATTAATTTGATAACATTTTTATCTAAACATAGTTTACATAAATTTTACATTACGCATCCAATACTATAAACATTTATTTACAATAAAATTAAATCACAATTACAACATTAACGTGTTACACAAGTAATATCTGTATAATATTTTACATTGTTAAATTAAATTTCGATAAAGATTTGCTGAAAATACAATAAAAAATGTAAAACTATTAATTTATAATATATTATCTTCATATTTGCTAATTGGAACAGAATGCTGATAACTGAATAAAATTTAAAGTTTTATTCAATTTTAGTTCCTTCTTTCCAATTATCAAGTATTGTATGATATCTATGAATGGTTTCGTTTCACATATGGTGCGAATGATGTACCATTTCATCTTTAGTATTCGGTAAATGACAAGGATAAAATTATACATCTTGCGCATCGTGTGTGAAACGGAATAAGGACTTATATTTTCTCTTTACCTATATAATATATTAATTAGACTTTGCCTATCCGTATTTTTATTTCGTGCCTATTCGCCTATAAATAAGCGGGATGACCTAAACGCGATACTAAACGAATAAGAAAATTTTAGAAATGTAAGAACTCGCAATTTAGTTTGCGAGTTCTTATGTTTCGACAATTTGGCCCTCCCGAAAGTGATTGCCCTCCCAAATATCAAGAGACATGGTAGTGTATCGACTCAAAGACCATTTAACTTACATTTTATATTTACCTTCGTACCTTTGATTGGTGTTACATACCAACGAACCTACCTTGTAGATCCTCTTCGTCTTCTTTCTTCTGGCCAAATTAAACTAACCTTTTGATGATCTTGGCCAATAATTTCTGGTTTCGTATACCAGAAATCAACATAAAAAGGAGAAACTCCTTTTTGCCTGCCGATTATCACCGGCAATAAGAGTAAAATTATTACGCTTTTGTTCGATGCGCGAAACACGGACGCGTCGCGAAGGGCCATCATATTAATGAAATTAATTGTACTACACGAAAATAAACTGTCAATGAGATACTACAACATTTCCAATTAATATACGATTAAATTTTGTATGTACTCTTTATTCGCGTTTCTGCGTAATTAAATACCTATCTATTTATTAAAATATATTTATCCGATTAAAACTAAATGTAAATTAAAAAAATCTTTATATTGAGACACTGATCTGATTCAAAAAAGCTCTATCGCGAATATTATGAAATTTAGATTTGTTTTTTAAGTAAACTTTATAAAATAAAAATAAAATCTTGATTTAAAAATAAATTCAAAAAATTATTTAATCATAACTACTATTTGATAATCTAAAGCCCATTTACATCGATTCGACCGATTCGTTACTGAATTTCATTTCGAAAGCATTCGGAGACGAGAAATTCAGAAAAATGACGTAAGATTCGATAGGGATAATAAATTTCCCTCAATAATATCAATTTAAATTATACCTTTTTATAGTAATTATAATTTATTAGAATTATTTTTTATTTATTTATAATAATTATTTCGAAATAAAAAGTATTTCAAGTGACACAAATTTGTGATCACAATTTTAAAACAGTTATTAAAATTCTTATTTCATTTCGTGATAAAACGTAAATTGAATCTCACGTCATATTACTACTTTAACTGATAAAATCCAGTTACCAATTACTACGTATGGATAAGTTATAACAGTTTAGGCTAAAGTTAGAGCAGTGAGAGAGATAAATAAAATTAGAAATCATAAAACGTCTTATATCAAAAAGCAAAATGAATTGTTTGTAATGTATCGCTCAATATTAAAACGTTTGTTATTATTTTATAAAACATACAATCATGATATATCAAGCGATAAATATAAAATTACTTAAAAAACAATACCTTCTTATACGCACTGTTTTTTTGCACTAACTTTTGTAAAACTTAATCTTAGATAGGTAATTGTTTGAATGGGATAGATGGGAAAAATAATGAAACAACATGTAACACTCGGATCTTCAATCTTCATGGTATGAGATAATCCAAATGTCACAATTTTTGTTTTAATGTAGGTAATATCTTTAACCATTTTTCTATATTTTTTTCATTTTACTAGATTATTGCATTTTGTATTTAATATACAAAATGTATAAATATTTGATTCTCTTTATTTCTTAATCTATGATTTAACCCTTCGTGTACCGACGGGGGTCGTTTGCGTCCTGACGTTTGTTGAAGCACTTAAAATGCTTTAAAAAATCTGAAAAAATTCATGGAGGTTCTTTCAACCTTCAACTTGAAGTCCCGACTATAATATTTAGGAAAAAAGTTATTTTTTAATATAATTTGTTATTAAAAAATGGAGGTACTATAAGGTTATATAATTTTGCTTGGGTCGAAAACGACCCCCGTCGGTACACGAAGGGTTAATA